GTTCTGAATGTTCATGGTGCACATGAATCCCATTTTCACATTCTTCCTGCAACCTTAAGACTGTTACTTCTGTTAACAGGAAAAATATGCCAAACAGTTTTTGACTTCAGTGACTAGAGGTTCAGGCATTAAATGTTGCAAGATACAGATTAAGAATCCTACATTAAGTGTTACTGGACTCCTGTTGCACAAATAGCACCCAACAGTCACAGAAGTTACTGCTACTACTTCTACTGGAAATGAGGAGAAACAGCCAAGCTGTTTCAGCAATGTTTTTCTGACTGGTGCCTTACCACAACATGCAAAGATAAAAATCACTAGGCATGAAAAAATTCTGAGCTCCATAGGTGGGCATTTCTGAAGACTGGGGCTGATTACAAAGGAAATGTCAATGAAGATTTAGTAGGTGATAGTGTGCCTCATAATCATTTCAAATGAAGTTGAAAGCCATTCAAAACTAGCTGGCATTGCTTCAATGAAAGAAGCCATTTCATGCATGTTTGCCAGTTGGTGGTCCAGTCAGAAACTGAGTTAGGACATGAAGAATACATGACAAAGCATTTATATGAAAATATATTCTGCCATTAACTTAGCAGTCAAGCAAAAAATTAGAGCAGTTCTTGCAAAGCAGTCTTACATTCTGCTTTCCCATGCACTCAAATGGTAGCTACATACAGCACGCATTAATCTGCATTAACAGCACAGAAATCAGCTTAATATTGGATTAAGCTTTCTTTATTATATCTACAGGACTTTTAACTATAAAAACACAATTGATATGATTAGCATCTTAAATCACTACACAGTTTTTCCTCCGTGTGAGCTGGCAGTTTCTGTCTAACCTGGAGTAAACTGAAGGTACTGCAGGGAAGTCAGATTTCTCAGCACACAGTAATGCAAGACCATTGTTGCACACTGCTCAACACAGCAACTTTGTAGGTACTTGTATTAGCATATTTCCTCCTATGATCACTTGTTTACTACTCTAAGAAAACAAGAGTTTCAGTGACCAAAGTAGTAAACTAGAATTATCAGAGAACACTTTAGAGAAATCCTGCCTTTTCCTCATAAAGCATCCTTACCAGTAAATAGATGCAGCAAATTGATTTTGTAATCCATAGGATCCCCACATGGAGGTTAATAGCTGGATCCAGAGAGCAGCTATTCTTGTCCAAAGGCCATAAAGCACCAGTACAGCCACACCATAATGGAAACTCTGCCCATCATGCGGCTTCTCTGAAGTTTCAAATGGCACCATCAGTAGGTACCAAAGTCTTTAAGGATCTGGGCAAAAATAGTGACTCAAAGCTGAGAACTCTAAACATCATACTGCACCTCTTCCATTAAAAAGGAAATTTTAAAAGACAAATGTCTTACAGAAAGAAAGCAAAACCTGACTGCCGTGTAGCAGTCTGCACAACTTACCTAGAGCAGTACCACTCCCCACCATCCCTTGAGCAAGCACTCAAAACTTTGACCATGCCTTTGGCTAATTGGTTCCTCTAAAGATTTTTCTTCCATTTAAAAAACCAAAAAACAGAAAGACAACCTCAGAACCCATGGGACTACACTCTGAACATGAGGCTTAAGTGCTACATGTTAAGCCTTTTTAAAAGCTAAGGCAAAAGTATGCACTTTTTTGTACAGATTTTATTGCAACACACCAGCTAATTCCCAAACACAAATTGTTTGTCTTGGTCAAAATTTAGTCACAGGATTAGACCATGAGCCTCAATATCTGACCACCTATTTCGATTTTCATATATGATACAAACTTCAGAGGCAAGTTGCTACAAATAAAATGTTACATTTCTGTCCCAGCAATTCTAAGTTAATTTTCTGAGCTCTTCACTTGGAACAGAGGTAAAAAACTTCATACATGTACAAAGCTGCCAGTCCCTTTTTCAGAATACAATTTTGCTACCTGAGGACTACTTATGATTACCGGTGTCTATATTACTTGTCAGGACACTGAGAGTATGACAAGCAACAAATCTAAAGAACAAAATGTATTCAAAATTAAAACAAAAGGCTTACAGGTCAATAGATGCCTTATCTCTACAGTCATGTGATATCTGAAGTATGTTTGATTTTCGTAAGAGATCGGAAAAAATTTTGCTGCGGTTCTACATCAAAAAACCATGTGAAGTATGTAAGGCAGTTTCCACAGGAATACTAGTTCTGTGTGCTTGTGTAAGCGAAGACAGTTTAAAGAAGCAGTTAGCATCTACATTGAGCTACCTTCTAATAGGAAGACTGCTTGTTTTCGAAAAATCTTCACCAGAGTATCATCCAATTCAATTTCCTGTAGCTTAGAAATGAGCTGCTCCTCATTTCGACAAACCTTCTCTTGTGCATACAAGCCATCTGGCATTATTCGTTGCTGTCCCAGCCCTAGCAATGCTAATTCCACAGCCAGTGTTAAATAAGATTCCCCTTCTTCTAAGAACTTGTGTGCAGGCAGGTGCTGGTACTCCAGAGATTTGCATTGCCCCATGTTCTCTGTAAGGGGTGACACAGAAAGAAAAACACATCATTCTAACACATAATCTGCCTATAATGCCACATATACAAATGCTTCCTCTGTTAGCATTAGTTTTTTCAAATTATTTAAATAACCAGCCCAATCTCAAAATCCAGTAATCCCATCCAATTCCACATGGCAAAAATACACAAAACAATTAGGTTTTAGATAACCCGTCAATTAATAAGTTTTCGATTTTAAACTGCACAATTTTAGAGAAAAGCAGTTTCTCCAGCTTTGTGTTAATGAGGCCAAAATTGCAAGATCCATTTCAACTTCTTTTTCCCCCACCCATTTCTCTATCTCCTTAAAGCCCCAATGTGTATGAGGAAGGGAAAGTTACTTACACACCTGCATAGATTTTGGTTGAAGCTATTATGATTGTGCAAATACAACAGGCCTGGGAACTCCACAACTTTTAATCACCCTCTCTTTGACAGCACTCTTTTCAGAGTTTTTTATTTGTTACAGTTGTATTTATGATAAAAATGTATATTAACACTAGAAGTCCTATTTTCAGTAAAGATTACATATACATTCCACATAGACCATGCCATAAATTGCTTTAAAGAGTACTACCAATTTTTTTGGCACTTCAAAGACACACCATATGACAAAACACTATCCCAATCTGTAGCAGTTTATAGTCTAATTTGGGAACAAAAAGCTATAACGGACAGATGTAAGGAGAAGGACAACTGCAGCAAATGGGAATGCTGAATGCATTTGGTAGATTGCACAGGCGTGTGTAGGAAGAAGTTACTTTTCAACACACATTATTTTTATTTCATGGTGGTGTTTTGGTGTTTTTATAGTTGCAAAGAATCTGATTGCTGATTTCTTTTACTTAAAAGTTCTTCCAGAATTGGTGAATATGGAATTTGAAATTTATTGAACAAAATCTAATTGAACAAAAGGAGTTTTGAGGCAAAGCCCCAAGAAGATTGTGGATGTGCATATAAAAGAGCTGCAGGTAGAGGGATGAATCCAGTTTATGTTCACACAGGTGTTGATAAGAAGCTACCACAGAGGTGGAAAAAGACTGACAATAAGGAATCAATCAGTTATGGTCCTGGGAAGTGAATACTGAAATTAAAATGGGTGTACACATCCTATCCTAAATCATGTATCGGTACTGCAACACTGCTTTCCAATCCAGGTAATTTATAGACCAAGTATGTTATCAGTTTTAAGTGCTTTGTCATCAATTTGAAGTATTATGTACATGTGTAGCCAAGAAATCCAATAACATCCTGGGCTGCATTAGGAAAGCGTTGCCAGCAGGTTGAGGGAGGTGATCCTTTCCCTCTGCTCAGCACTGGTAAACTCACACCCAGAATGCCATGTCCAGTTATGGGCTTCCCAGCACATGGACATACTGGAGCAGATCCAGGGGCCAAAAAGATGATTAAAAGACTGCAGCATCTCTCACATGAGAGAGAAACAGGTGGGATTATTTAGCCTGGAAAGAGAAGGCTTAGGAGAATCTCACCAAAATGTACAAATATCTTATGGAAGAATGTAAAGAAGACAGTGCCAGACTCTTCTCAGTGGTATCCTGTTACAGGACAAGAGGCAATGGGCACAAACTGAAATATAGGAAGTTTCATCTGAAAACACTTTCTTACTGTGGGGGTGGTTGAATACTGCAAGAGGTTGCCCATAGAGACTGTACAGTGTTCATTCTTGGAGTTACTCAAAACCCAAGTGGACACAGTCCTGGGCAACCTGCTCTAGGTGACCCTGCTCTGAGCAGAGCAGGTGGACTAGATGATCTCCAGAGGTGCCCTCCAACCTCAATGCTTCTGCGATCCTGTGATTTCCTGCAATCTCTCAGAAAGAAGACAGAGCAATGTATGTGGAGAGGGTTGATGCTATGAAGTCTTATTCAGTTTTATTTCAAGTGTGAAATACAGAATTGTCTTCAAGAATGAGTAACTGGTAATTTTTTAAGTGCCTTCATATTTTAATTTAAACACTTTCTCTCCCTTGTGTTTTCTTAAGGAACGCAAATGTCAGTTCTTATACTACAAAAATACTGGCTTTGAAGCTGATTCAGAAAGTCAAGACAGAAAGAGGCCTCTGGTGAATAAAGACATGTAGAATATTGCTCCCTTTGCTTGGCCTTACCCATGAAGTCTGAGAATCCATGGAAGCTCTCATCATCCACCCTGCAGGCTTCCATCAGGCTACTGAAGAGGGTGCCGATGGGGTCCAAAGGGTGTCCCACCCAACCTTCAAGATTCGTTATTGAGGTTACTCCTCTGTGGAGAAGATCTGTGCCAGAAAAGATGGAGGGAGAAGGGAGGGAAAGAAAGCGCATGTTAGCCCCTCCAAACAATTATAAAAGTAAAACTCATTACAATGCTCTCTGTACAGAACTCAAAGAACGTCCAGTAACTTCTGCTTAGGACAAAATAGGATCTCTCAGGCTGAATACATTGCCCTATGTTACAAGATGAAAAAAAGAGCAAAGGACAAATATTTTGAGCACTAGCAAGGCATATTATGAGTCAAAAATTTCAACTGCAGTGTCTTTTGAAACCCCTTCCTCAATACCTGTACATCTGCTGAAAAATTACAGTAAGGAATTTTTTTGTAAAACATTCACAATAGTTTCCTCACTCAAAAAGAAACAGTATCACTTTTACATTTTAGGCTAATCTGATGGCACTGAAATAAATGAAAATATTCTAACATATGTTCCAATTTCATGAATAAAATATGAGCTTATCCTGCATCTAAATATTTATTGAAGTAATAAACTCAGGGTGACAGCCCTTTAAAAAAAATAAAATGTTTAAATGAGGTATACAAGAATAAATTGTCCTTTAAGCAGATCAAATGCATTTTTTGTCATTCTAAAATTTCAGTCCACAAATACCTTCACAGATACTTTGTTTTCCAGCCCTCACCCATCATTTGGTTAAAACATGAAAAAATGGTTTAGCGCAGTGAATGAAGGAAGTGTGGTTGTGGTAACAGATGTTAGAGATTCCTCAAATCCCTTTTTTTCTTAAGAGTCTTATGGCAACAGCTCCCCTTTGACTCCAACTCCCAACACACACACGACTGAACTATGAGAAGTCAGATGCATTATGTGTGACCACTTAAACACTGTATACCAGCGGCTATGGATGATCTGTTTCTTGGCCTGTTACACAGTAACTTGTACCTGCTTCCACTCTCTCTTATTCACAAAGTGCCATCTTTCTGAGTAATCATATGTATTATCACAGAGCTTTTAAATTCTGCTTCTTGCCTATTTAAATGTGTGGAGCTACAAAATGATACACAGCCACACTGTCAGAAAAGTAAGGTTTGAAAAACCTTATATGAAAAACAAATAGGTAAATCATTGGCTTACTGACAAATAGCATGTACTAAAGAAGACAGGCAGAAGCAAAAAGGATTAATATTACCAAAAAGGATTAATCACAGTAACTTCTTACTGAGTCACTTAGGTTCTATTTATTTTATTGTGCCTAATTATAAGCTTCACTTGTGTCATGCCAAAAGCTTCAGTTCTCCAGTACTATAGACATTTAATTTTAAATCATGCAAGTGGTTCCATGGACATCAGATCAGTCACATGAATAAAAGCTAAGTAGAAGCACGTGGTGTTCGCTGAACTAAAACCTAAAGCTGGGCTGCAGCTGCAGAATTCATCTGCTTATAGAGAAGACCAGCACATTTTACAGTATTAGTGGTTTTTTTTAAAAAAAATCTACATATAAGAGGAAAAAAACAAAAAAGCAGTGAGAGACAACACAGAAACAACAAACTTCTTTGTTTCAGGGTAGGATGGATTGATCACACTTTATGCACTCCATTATTTATAATAGCGTAATATTAGTTGACAGCTATAGAAACTGCTCACAGGGAAAGGAACTTAATAGAAGTATTGAATGTCTAGATAATGTATTAGCAACTGGGAATGAAAAGGAGCAGTACTACGACCAGGACACTTGCAGCAGACCCTTCACACCTGCCAGTGGTATGTACATACACATGCACACACAGACATAGACCCCCGCTTCTTACTCCCCCGCCTGAGAAGCTAGAAAAGCTGAAAAGCTTTTAAGGTAACACTTGTTAAGGGAAGATACAATACATCATAAAAAGATTTCGCAAATTCTCCGAAGCAACAAAACAAAGTGTTTTTAAGTTTTGTTCAAATCTAGGATCCACAGCAGTGCTCAAAAAAACCCAAACCCCTTCCTTGGGTACCGTGGAAACAATAATGGAGGCACACAGGAACTGCCAGCTAATTCTTTTTCAGTCAGGTGTCTACTTCATCTTATAAATGCTCGTTTCTGGGAAAACGCCTGCACACACACTTGAATAACTCGCACATATGACTTCACACTGGTATTTTTGCCTACAATGCATGAGGACACATGTAGTTAAGAGTAGCAACAAAAAGCTAAAAGAAAATTTGAGTTAAGGGATTCCTGTAACAGCTGAGAAAGTAAGTCCAGTTTTTCCCTATGCATTCTTTAACCACAAAGCCATCCCCTTCTTCCACTGCCTCTTCAAACTGATAAAGTTCAGTGTGGGATTATATTGGGTAGCAAGAATCACATGCCATAGAAACTCTATCTGATGGGGAATGTTCCTTCAAAAAAAAAACAACCAACAAACCAAACCAAGGGCAGTGCTTGTCAGAGGAACACCACAGAATATTTTATAAAAACCAGTGTTTCAAAAACAAAAAAAAAGCTATCCACCTCTATTCAGAAACACAACATTTTAAGTAATATAAGAGACTCTCTTGGAGCAAACTGTCAAATTCAATTAATTTCTGTAGTGCAGACTTTACCCTGGACTTCAGGAGAGCTGACTTTGGCCTCTTCAGGGATCTGCTTGGTAGTGTACCATGGGATAAAGCCCTGGAGGGAAGGGGGGCCCAAGAAAGCTCCTTAGTATTCAAGGACCACCTCCTCCAAGCTCAGGAGCCATGTATCCCAATAAACAGGAAGTCAGGCAAAAAAGCCAGGAGGCCTGCATGGATGAACAAGGAGTTCCTGGACACACTCAAATACAAAAAGGAAGTCTACAGAGGGTGTAAGCAAGGACAGGTAGCCTGGGAGGAATACAGAGAAACGGTCCAAGCAGCCAAGGACCATGCTAGGAAAGCTAAAGCCCTGATAGCTTTAAGTCTGGCCAGGGACATCAAAGGCAACAAGAAAAGCTTCTATAGGTATGTTGGTGATAAAAGGAAAACTAGGTAAAACATGGGCCCTCTCTGGAAGGAAATGGGAGACCTGGTCACCCAGGATATGGAAAAGGCTGAGGTACTCAATGAATTTTTTGCCTCAGTTTTCACCGGTAAGGGCTCAAACCACACTGCTCGAGTCACAGAAGGCAAAGGCAGGGACTGGGACAATGAAGAACTGCCCACTGTAAGCACAGATTGAGTATGAGACCATCTGAGGAACCTGAAGGTACACAGGTCAACGGGACCTATTGAAATCCATCCACAGGTCCTGAGGGTACTGGCGGATGAAGCTGCTAACCCACTATCCATCATATCTGAGAAGTCACAGCAGTCTGGCAAAGTTCCACTGACTGGAGAAGGGGAAACATAACCCCCATTTTTAAAAAGGGAAAAAAGGAAGACCCGGGGAACTACAGGCTGGTCAATCTCACTTCTGCGCCTGGCAACATCATGAAACAGATCCTCCTAGAAACTCTGCTAAGGCACATGGAAAATAAGGAGGTGATCAGTGACAGCCAACACGGCTTCACTAAAGGCAAGTCATGCCTGACAAATCTGATGGCCTTCTATGACCATGTTACAGTGCTGGTGGATAAGGGGAGAGCAATGATGTCATCCACCTGGACTTGTGCAAAGCATTTGACACTGTTCCGCACAACATCCTGGTCTCTAAATTGGAGAGACGTGGATTTGATGGATGGACCACTCGGTGGATAAGGAATTGGCTGGATGGTTGCACTCAGTTGCAGTCAACAACTCAATGCCCAAGTGGAAACCAATGATGAGTGACATTGCTCAGGGCTCAATACTGGGACCGGTGCTGTTTAACATCTTTGTTGGCAACATGGACAGTGGGATTGAGCGTACCCTCAGCAAGTTTGCCAGCACCACCAAGTTGAGTGGTGCAGTTGACATGCTGGAAGGAAGGGATGCCATCCAGAGGGACACTGACAGACTTGAGAGGTGCGCCCATGCCAACCTCATGAAGTTCAACAAGGCCAAGTGCAACACCCTGCACAGGGGGAGGGGCAATCCCAAGCACAAATACAGGCTGGATGGAGAATGGGTTGACAGCAGCCCTGAGGAGAAGGACTTGGGCATGTTGGTTGATGAGAAGCTTAACATGAACCAGTAATGCGCATTTGCAGTCCAGAAACACAACTGTATCCTGGGTTGCATCAAAAGAAGCATGGCCAGCAGGTCAAGGGAGAGGATTCTGCCTCTCTACTCCACTCTTTTGAGACCCCACCTGGAATATTGCGTCCAGCTTTGGAGTTCTCAGCACAAGAAGGACATGGACCTGTTGAATTGAGTCCAGAGGAGGGCCATGAAGATGATTAGAGGGCTGGAGCACCTATATTAGGAGGACAGGCTGAGAGAGTTGGGGTTGTACAGCCTAGAGAAAAGAAGGCTCCAAGGAGCCTTCCAGTACCTGAAGGGAGGCCTACAAGCAAGCTGGAAGGGGACTTTTTACAAGGGCATGTAGTAGTGACAGGACAAGAGATAATGGCTTCAAACTGAAAGAGGGTAGATTTAGAATAGGTATTAGGAAGAAATTTTTCACTATGAGGGTGATGAGATGCTGGAACAGGTTGCCCAGAGAAGTTGTTGAGGCCCCATCCCTGGGAATGTTCAAGGCCAGGCTGGACGGGGCTTTGAGCAACCTGGTCCAGCGGGAGGTGTCCCTGCCCATGGCAGGGGGGTTGGAACTAGATGATCTTTAAGGTCCCTTCCAACCTAAACCATCCTGTAATTCTATGATTCATTGTCCCCCTCAATGTCAACTTTAGGCTTACACCTCAGAAATACATTGTTCAGCTAAATTGTATGTCAGACAAAAAAATTATTTTAAACACCTGCCATGCCAAATGCAAAGGTCTGTTTAAAAGCATGTAAATTATACAGTGTGAATATTTTCACTGTGTAACCAAAAACCCTGATTGAGATAAAGGCCCCATCGTGACAGACTTACTGCAGAAGGCAGAACAGAGCCCTTTCCCTGCACAGCTCACAATGCACCTTACGGAAAACCTTCGACATCCAGAATGTGAGATTACCACTATGATCGTTTAGACTGAAGAGCTAAAGTCACCTCTTTCACTTTAGTTTCAAAACTGGTTTTCTCATGCAAAATTCCAGTCCAGTGTTATTGTCACCTCGGCATGTCCTTTGCCCTTCTCTCTTCCCCACATTTACCTTTCTTCTGAGCCCGGAACATTTCCAGCTGTTTCTGCTGCTGCCTTCTTAGCATATTAACAATAGCTATTGCTAGCCTCAGTGCTTCTTGTGGGTATCCATGAGATCGTAACGCGTCCACCCTCGCACAGGCTGTAGGAACATGTTCTAAAATGGAAGAAATAATTGAGGAATAGCAATGCTTCGATGTCTGCAGCGGCCTGTTTTGCTAGGTTACTCAAAAGGGCTTTTTTGTTTGTTTTTTTGTTTTTGTTTTTGTTTTTAAAACTATGCAAGACAGACTTAAGGACTATTTCTGAGCCAGCATTTCAAGGGACCCTCTGTTCTTTTTGCCAGGCTTTTCATTCACCTCCCCACCATCCCCCCAAAATAATGCCATAGAAAACGAACAAAGCAGCAAGTCATGGAAACGTCTTTCCGGTTTAGCCACTTACCATGCCAGAGGGGCCACCCGTGAGAGTCAAAGAGGGAGTTTTCAGTGTCGTCATGGTAACAGTAGTTGGTGTATAGGTCACTGCTGATAATGTGCTGTAAGTGGCTGTCCTGCCAGTGCAGATCGCACGCCTCAATGGCTCGAGTGAACACCGTCCGATGTGGCCTGTTCGATGAATCTGTCATTTTCACAAGTTCAGAAAGCTGCATCAGCTTTTACTCATTCATATGTGAATCGGTCATTCACAGTATTCTTGTCTTCCGCCTATTCACCAACCCCCAACTGACAGCAGCCTGTCTTGCCCCCTCTCTACACCAAGCAGCCCGCAGATGACATTTCACATCCTATTATTATCCAACAGCTCAGATGAAATATGTGCCATTCACTTTGCATTCAGAAAGAGAGATCTACAAACCAGCACGGCTGACGCTAAACAGGACTTTGCAGAGGGAACAGCTAGAGATGAAGGACATTCAACAGCACGTACAGAATTCCCCTAAAAACAAACTAGAAAGTATATGGCACACAGCTACCCAAGCATCCCCAGCTTCTCTCCTCCTCAGACCCAGAGCTGCCAGAATGAGGGACAGATAAACATCACATGAAAGATTTTTTGTTGTTCTCTTTGAGAAGTGACATAAACTTTGAGCACTTGTATAAACATATAAACATACTGTAAAGAAAATGAGGTACTGAGGCCATGGGACTGACATAATGCTTACTGGACAACCTACTACGGCAAAATTGCTCTGTCGACATGGCACTCTGTCTATGAATGTTGAAATGCCATGTCAGGTTTAGCACTAGCCTGCCCATGGTTGGGCTGAACATGACGACACACAGAAAGCAAAACACCTCTGTAGGGAGTTATATGCTGAATGAACTTCTGCCCCTGGCTAGCTGTGAGATTTAAAAAAATGAATCAAGTCTACTTCCTTCAGACGTAATCTTCCAAGAAAAAGAAACAAGGAAAAACCCACCTAAGTCCAAATCTGCCACCTCCCAAGCATTTAATTTTAACTTTATCATAATTACATGAAATATGTATCAAAACACTGCAGGGTTTCAGGATTATGAGGATTTTTTTCCCAGGTACATATCCTGCATCTTCCCCAGTTATTAGCAAAGTAGCCATCTTTGCTTGAAGAGGACTGGACAAGGCTTTTGTCAGATTTCATAACCACATTTTCAGATTAGAAAGCATGATATTGAGTAAGAAAAGACACCTTCTCCAAGATGGCAGTGTTACCACTGCACCCCACACACACCTGGCAATGCAGACTGCACATAGAGAGCACATCCCACCGATAGCTGCTTTAGTTTCTCACACACTCAAGTTTAATGCAGTTGCAACAGATCTCTCTTTAAATAGGGATCAAAGGCTTTGTAACTGCAAACAAAATAAAAACCCCAACACCAGAAGGAATACAAGATTATAGTCAAGCAAAGAAACAACAGGATTTTACTTTACATACTTCAAGGACATCCAATTTTCATGCAACACGTATTTAGAAGCACCAAGTGAAAAGTTAGAAGACCTAACTAAACACAATTACTTGCTTTGAAAACATTGCAGCCCCAGCACAAAACCCCCTCCCTATTTATCCTTTCTGCAAGTATAGTATTAGTGAAAATAAATTTGGCTGGTCAATCCTCAACAAGAAATTTACTTGTCCCAGGAAAGAATGCTGAATTCTGCAAGGCTAGAGTATATAAAACAGAGGCTATATTATATGTTGCAGTCAGTGCATATGTTTAGGCTCACCTTGGTTAGCATTTGCACCCTGAGGCAAAGCATTGGTTAAATTGGGCAGCTCGTTTCCATGGTTTCCATCTTCCCAGGGACAAACATCCACACTGTTCCATTTTTTCAGCTGTTTTAGCCAACTGGCCTTCTGCTCCAACTTGCAGTGGGGATTTAAGACTATACACATCCACAGAGCACCTGATTTTAAAAAAATTGCTAAATTATGTTTTCTATTAAAAATGCGGCAGCCAATGACTAATTGCAAACTTCTATACTGTAATACTTTTTCTCCCCTCAAAGGCTACACTGCTTGCTTCCCAGCTACGCCTAACACCAGGCAGATTGAATTCCCGATGCAGGATCTCAGAGCTGGCATGGCCCATCTGAAGCAGCTGAAAGACGGTACCAAGCCAACCTTCTTAATTAAGAGGCATTAAGAGGTCTTTTGTATTAGAAAACCCAGAGTTCACAATGTATGGCTCATCAGACAGGCGTATCAGTCAAAAGCAAACAAGAATTCACATAAAGTTACAGCAGGAAGTTACCCAAGTTTTTCTTCTAATTTTTGTACCAGAAGCAAATGTTGTTTTCTACAAATGAGAACTATGTACCATCCAGCTTCATATTACAGGAACCAAAGTAGTGCGTTAATAAGACATATTTTATAAACATGTATTTCCAAACTCTGAACCCAGCAGAAGTACTGCTGATCATATAACTCATTCCCAAACACATCTGGGTCTCAGAAACCCAGTGAACACTGGTTTTGCGCAGTCTAAAAGGACTAAGTTATTTTTACTGCAATTACTTCAGTAACTCGGTTACACTAGAAAACTTGTTTTACATTTTCTGTTTACAGAGCTCGAAGGAAAAGCTAATGTGAGCTGACATTTCACACATACCATCACTTTGGAACCTGCTCCCTGAGACTATATAGCAGGGCAGGCATCAATGCATCAGGGTCTCTAGCAATAATTTTCAAATGGAAAGATTTTTCTCTAAACCAGCTATCTCTTCATCTGTGTGAACTTTGACAGAAGCATGAAGATACCCAAAAGTACTGTTTAGCAACAGTACATTTGCTCATTAAGAACGTGCTTTATACACTACAGGAGATTTAGAGAATATGCTTAAACTATGCAATCTTCATGACAGGCCAGAAAAAAAAAAAAAGGAATAAAAATGCAGCTGGTTCTCCTAGGACAATAAAATTCTCACATTCAAGTATTCTTTTGCTAACAAAGAATGCAAAATGGATACCCAGAGCACAGGCCATCACATTACATTCATTCCTAAAGTAACTTGCATGTCGGTATGCCACAGCACAGGAGCCAGTGGAAACACAGCTTGATCCTTAAGGCTGCAAGTCCCCAGCTATTCAGACCAACATGGAATGGGGAACTAACATCAAAGAAAATCAAAACCCACAATAAAATATGATATGCTACAGTGTGGAACACCAGAGAGACACTACACTACTGCAGATTATTACTGCACAGTGGTTAAATACAATACAGCAAGTGTTTAGGGTTTTTGTTTTGTTTTTTTAAGTGTCTGAAACTTGCAATGGGAGTGCATAAAGCCAATACTATTTTTAAAAGCTTCTTTTAAAATCAAATCATAAGACTTTCTTTAGACACACTCGTTAACACGCTTCATTCTCCAGAGTCCAGTTACAATTGGTTCTTCTTATTAAGCATCAATGTATTCAGCACTGCCCAAGACAGAACAACTACATTTCCTGCAATCTGCAAAACAAAACAGAAGATGGGGCATACTGGGAAAGCCTCGGACAACAGTTAACTTGGGCTTGCTTACTTATTTTCAAAATAACGTATCACTTGAGGGCACTAAGGAGACACTGTACCTCTCAGCATCTAACAAAAAAAAAACCCTAATTTAATACTTTGTAACCGGATTCCCAGCATTTCCAGACTGAAGCAAAAGCAAAGTGGAATACCTTAACTGCATTTGGTAAGTATTTTAACCATCCAGTAAGGCGGAACACATATTACTGATTACGCCATGCCCCTAGAAAAATGAGTGGCCTTTTCTTTTTCCACATCTCAGAAACACCACTAGAGGCAAAGGAATTCAATCGCCTTCTTCGGAAGCTCCACTATGAGTTTGGTACATCTAAGAGGAAGGAGAGGGAAGAGATACCCCAAAGTTCCAAGTTCTTTAGAAACTTCTTTGGTTTAAAGAGGGAAACTATGTCAAGCATAACTTCATTGTTAGCAGCAATTGTCTCAGAAACCCAGGCTTCATTTTTATGCAAATGAAGCACAAGAACAAGAGTATTTCTAATAAACCTCACACAAAACACTCAAAATTTCAATAGAGCCCAACTGCACCCAGTGACTTCAGGGCGAGCTGCATGTACATCTGAGATCTCGCCCAGCTTTCACGGCTGCCCAATTCCCTGCAGGAAGAGGAGTGTGAGACAAAACTTCCCCAAAAGAAGAGAACGGAACAGAAAGAGCCTCAGGCTCAGCTTCTGTAGTGCTACAAAGGCTACCATCTGGGAGAAGGATGCATAATGCCAATGACCCCACACTCTTCAGCCTTTTTGGGTTTCTCGGTTTATTGGTTGGGGATTTTTGTGTGTGTGATCCTCCCCCCCCCCTCCCCACCAGCGTGTGTGCACTTGCCTGTATTCTTATTTCTTCCTCCTCCTGCTCCCTAAGTGCCTTCCCCTCCCCTGACATCTGCTCCATTTTGGGCTCTTTCAATTCACTGGTTCCTGTCCTGCTCCTAGCACTGAGAAGTCTGAGGAAAATGTTCACATGTGTCCAGATCTTTACCACGTGCCAACTGGAAGGACCCTGGAGGATATTCTTCTTATTTCACTCTGATGCTGCTCAGTGGACGCTCCCCCAGGCTGGCCCTTAAATGTCACCACCAACCTGAAGGTTTACACTGGCCTCATACAAGAGATTCTCTATTTTCTACCTAATGGCTCTCATACAGGGAAACTGCTCATCACACTTACTCCTTACTACAGATAAGGCTTACAGAAAAATGAAGGGCAGCTAGTGGTAATTTGTGGGGAATTTATCTGAATGCATTTTCAGTGACTCCAGCCTGGAAACTGCTGTTGGCAACAGTCTATACTCAAAAGGAGTTTCCCAAAATACGTTCCTGACATTCTCAAGTTTACCCGTTTGACTAGGTTTAATGATGTCACCCACACCACCTGCAATATGAATAAATGGTTAATTAAAAAAAAACAACACAAAAACCAAACCCAAAACCAGAGAATGTGTTTGTGTACTCTGTTTTTCTCTCTAACATAGCTCACGCTCTTCTTCCTGTCTCCCTTTCCCCAGGACACCAGGTATCTTTTCACACTGTTTCTCAGGAGGCTGACACATCTTTCCCCCAGAACTACATACTACTACACCAAAAGTTACGTTCTGATTGGGATCCCTTGACCATGACCTATGTCTTTCCAATACAAAACTCCTCACACCACAGTGGCAAAATGATCACAATACAATATAAAAAAAAAAAATTCCCCCAGAACATAATTGGAGAATAGACATGCTGTGACTGTAATTTCATACTAATTTCACAAGGGAATGAATATTGGAACTGTCATATTGCAGTGAGGAATTGCCTATTTTGGTTCAACACTAATCCTCTTGACCTGGAAAAAGCCAGCTTTGCCAAAGCAGACTTCTGGTTCAGACAGCCCTCCTTTTGAAAATGCAGAGTTGTCATTCATCTTTAGTGTGATACACACCACGAAAAAAAAAAATCACATTACTGCTTTACACAACGCATGCCTTTCTTGTACATACAGGGGAACATCAGTACTTTTGTGTTTCTCAGTAGACATCCATACCTTTGAATTCATGGGGGAGAAAGGGATAGCACGCCTTTACACTGATTAGGATTTAAATATGCAAATTGAAAAACATTAAGAAATATTCAGTCATTCTAAAAGTAGATGTAACAGTTTCACATCCCGCGTATGCATGTATTCATAAAGCCAAAGGAAGTGCAAGGAATGTATACAGATTCTCCCAAGAGATTAAGCATTGCTCAGCTTTCATAATTCCCATTATATTTTACTCTTGCTCCAGTAAATGGGAAGGTGGTGATGGAAACAGTTTTAGTGGGGGACTATGACACTGACCATGACTGAAGATCCAGCACACAATTCTATTTGACTGTTTGATTACAGTCTTCCCAAGAAACCTGCTTTCCCCAGAAATATTGTGCTACCTTGTCAGGGCTGCTGTGTAGCTAACCTTTGGTTCGCATTTACAATACCAGTGTAAACAATGGCTGAGATTTTGCCTTTGGTTTGGAACTTTACATTTAGTATACTCAAGATCAATCCATTCATTTGCAAAATTAAAATATGCAAGAAACAGATCCACATCCATGGTGACATTTCTTTGCCCTTCCCATTAATGCACATCTCTTTCTTAAAAAATAAACACCCATAAGCTACCATGTTAACAGCATTTGAACATTTCAAAGAAAATAGAGCCAGGTAATGAAGATCATTCCCTTTGTGCAACAGACAAATCAGCTTCAGCACTTGCTGCACGCTTGCCACTGTGACCTATTTGAGCCTAATCAATTCTATTACAAAAGCATAAATTTTCCAGCATTGGAAGTACCAGAACAGCACTAGGAGACAGAACCTATGACCCCTTTAAAATGGAAGTGTCAGCAAAGGATTTTAGTGGTTTACATCTGGTTTTTAAACACATACACACTGGGACAGCCACTTGGAAACCTCAAAGAAGGTAGTGTACAGTATTTATCGCTTCTCAACAAAAGGACAAGTGCTTTCAGAATGACTGGCAAAGCCACCTTCCTCCTCCAGGCACAGAGAGACCTCCATTAGAACAAAGCACAATCAGAAGTCCCACTGGAGAATGCTCCAATTAAACAGTTGCTTTTATGGAATAGTGAAGATAGGCAAAGCACTTCAGTGCTGTTTTCTCCTTGGTAAGAACCCCAAGGAAAAGTACTCTCAGTGTTCAGTTGGATCCAAGTTGCAATTTTATTCATAAAAACAATTCCTTAATGCATTCTGGTTCCTCTGTGCAGCCTTCAGAAAAAAAGGATTTCTATGGGTGCTGTGTTTCTTGGAGAACAGAATGTTTCATTTTGCTCTAATTCATTCTATTACTGAATTAAACTTTGATGTATTGGTCTTGACAAGTGCTTCATGCTGA